CTGCCTGTCCCGCCACAGCCAAGGATGTCGTCTCTAAACCCCTTGCCTGTCATGTCGCGGCCATGGAGGCCATTCATGAACTCGCTGCCTGTCATGTTACTGCCACTGAGACTGTTCTGTCACGGCCAGGTGGTCTGTCCATGTCTCTGCTCCGACATGGCCTCCTGACCTGTGGTGGTCTTCTGCTCTGCAGGCTTCACCTTGGTCGCCTGCTCTGCTCTGGTTGTCTGCTCCACCAGCTCCACCCTGGTGGTGATCTGCTCCACTGTGGGGATTCTCAGTCCCATCTGCTCTGCCCTGGTGGTCTTCAGCTCCACCTGCTCCACCCTGGTGGTCTTTAGCTTCACCTTGGCCTCCTGCTCTGTCTGGTCCACCATGGTCTATGCCACCGCTTGATGAGCCAGGTCCTCCACTACTCCATGGTCCAGGCCCACCTCTGCTCCACATTCCATGGTTGCTATCATTGCTCCACAGTCTAGACATGCCACTGCTCCACAGTCCATGGTTTCCATCATTGCTCTACAGTCTAGACATGCCACTGCTCCACGGTCCAGGCCTGCCACTGCTCCACAGTCCATGCTGGCCCTCCATCCCTCCCCCTGTTTCGCCTCCGCTTCACCACCCTCCTGGACTTTTTGAGTTTTGTTTGGGTTGGGTGTTACGTTAGGGCGTCTGGAGCCGCCCTTAGAGGGGGGCAATGTCACGGTTGGTTTTGGGTTTTTGTTTATGTTCATGATTTGTCATGTCTTTAATTTAGTCTTTTTCATAGTTATGGTTACCGTCATGTGTTTACCTTGCCCTTAATTATACATAATAAATAAAAACTATTGGTTGTCTTGTTCATGTGTCTTGTTCTTATTGGTTGATTTGATCATGTGGTTCTAAGTTCTGTTTTGTGATTGGGTCATTGTCTTGTTTAGTCATTTAGTCTTCTGTATAAATAGCCCTCATGTTGCAATTGACTTTTTTCTAGCTTTGTTGTCTGTAACTGCCGTTGGTGAGCTGTGTCCACTTCAGAAGGCCCTTATTAACCACTCAGAGCCGTGTGGAGAACTTTTTATGATAGATGGATGTACTTTTTTGGCCTTCAAAATCTCAATCCCCATTCACTGTCTTTATAAAGCTTGGAATAGCCAGGACATTTTTTTTATTATAACTCAGATTGTATTTGTCTGAAAGAAGAAAATCATATACACCCAGGATGGCAAATCATGGGGTAATTTTCATTTTTGGGTGAACTATCACTTTAAGGGTTTTAGAAGACCTTTTTCATGTTCTTCCTCAGTTTTCATAATTATAGACCAATAGCCCTGAAATATTAAAATGCTAACATTTTTGTTGTTGTTGTTGTTGGTATTTTAAGTATACGTAGTTTATCAAAACTTTTTTTTTTCATTATTGTGTCCCTAGTTTGTTGTCATGGCACATATTTTTAGATTACAGCCAAGTGCTTCAAACTGTCTTGGTCTGCACTCCATTTCAATATTAATTCCTGGAGGCACACCAACATTACACATTCTGAGTGTCTCCCTTATCTGACATGTTCATTTAAGGTCTTGGAGTATACATGGAGTACAAAGCAGATGAGTTGAATCAGGTGTGCTTGATTAGGAACAGTTGGAAAATATATTATGGGTGTGCCTCAAGAAAAATGGTTTGGAAATGTAAGTGTTTTGTAGGTCTGTGTTTTATTGGTTATGTTTGACAGCCTCCCTTTCCCTATGATTTCCCCTCTCACCTTTTCCAAAACTCAATCAACATCTCTACAGCTTTACACATCCATTTTTGAGCCTTTTTCAAATCTGAGGTGTGAACAATCAGTGCTAAAATGGGATTTTCATGCCCCTCAACAAACTTGCATGTCCTAACAAGTTTGACAGCACTCACTGATTTCAATCTATATCGACTGTGATATATCTGTGATACATCTGATATATCTTCCTATAACTGCCACAGTTTGTTTGAAGAGCTGAATAATGCACTTAGCCCTAACTCTGTTGGAACGATTTCAACATGTGGATGCTCTGTTCTTAACAAAGAGAGGCTCCATGCTATTCTCATGTATTACCTTTTATGCAAACACAGCAAGAATAGGATAAATAAATGTGCTGATGACACCGCTGTGATCTGATAACCATCAGCAATGAACTGCAGTGAGGGTAAGCCCTCTGCATGGGCCAGCACTCCAGCTTTCCAAAGCAGAATCCCATAGTATCATGGACAAGAGCAAAAACAAGAACATGCGGTGTGTTGACGGAGCATGAAAATTAGATAAAATTGAAAGTAAAAGCCAAAAGAAGCATACTGAACCAATAATAAAAAGTCAAAAGACGTTTGGTGAGTAACATTCAGAAGTCTGATGCGTCCCTATTTATCTCCTATGTGAATAGACTTGGCTGTCTGACTTCCTGCTGCTAGACTGCCTGCTGCTGTGAAACTATAAACACTTTGACTGCCTGCCAGGTGTCCAAATGTCAGAAACACTAAAGAGATTATAGTGAAGTACAGGACACACAAAACATACACTTGTTCATGAACATTATTTGGCCAGTTAACGTTAGAAGAAATAGTGAAATTAAATTCAAGGAAATTTCTAGGAATGCAGATAATGAACTAACTTGGACTCAAATCAACTTCAACTCAATTTGTCCTCAACAAACACTCTGAGCCAGAGTTGAGCAAGGAAAATGTGTATTTAGTAGTCTTTGCTCAAGTGTTTGATTAGGGATGGACAAAGAAACTAAAATGTATAAATGGACTCAGTATAGGGTCTATAAAAAAAAGGCATCACTGATCTAAAAATGTTAAACTTTGAAGCCAGTTTTCCAGAGGAAGAAAAGACGTTGGTGGCTGTCCCGATGCAGCCTACCTGTACTTTCCAAGGTCAAGATTTTATAAATTACATACACTTTACCTCAACCATGCATCATCTTCATCCCTGCTGTTTCTGCTCTCGAAATGCATCAAGACAACATTTTAAAAAGTACACCTTGTCATCTGTGAACTTCTTAAAGGGATGATACTCAAATCAGCTATGTCAATTGTCTGTGTTATGGATGTAAAGGAGAGGAGAAATGACACACCATTGGAAAGAACCAGTAGGTGCTTTCACTCTCTGAGTCCTGTTCATAAGGACTTTATAGAGCCACAAAATATTCTGAGAGCCTGTCTGCATTTAACGACTAGGGTAATAGGTACACGCTGATGGTGGGGCAACTATTTTTGGAAACAGGAAGAACAGTGTGCTGTTTACATCATTTGACAATGAGCTTTTAAATTTTTACAAATTTAAGTAAACATGAGGCCTAGCTGCTCTGAACAGTGATTGTGCACTCTGCTAATGGTATTATCCGGGCTGGGACTTTTCCAAGCTTTACACTGCCTAAAAGTGTAAAGAAACCTGTTTACACTAAAATGCATCAACAACTTCAGTGCTGATTGGAAGTCTTATTTAATCTAGCCAGCCAGGCTGGTGTGGCATAGCACACTATGGCACTTCTGCATGCCTACCAAGCTGATGTCCTGAAGCACAAGGATGAGGAATCAAAGAGCAGTCAAAGAGCTTTGTTGTGCAATGGATCTGGCATTTCAGCCCACTAAGAGCATGGCATACACTATGGGTAGCTCTACAGTAAATATGGTTTTGACAGACAGGCTAGTGCACAAGTGGCAACACGATGGCCATCCCAAGTTTGGTTCTCGGATCTAGTATCTCTCCTGGAGGAACCACATTAGGAGATTCCAGTCAGAGCTGTTGTCTCAGGTTTGGGGCAAAATATGACATCCTTGACCAAGCATCTGGAAACTTGGCCAGTGAATGGGGCTCTTTCGTGGATCTTGGCCTTTGATCGCGATGGAAGAAACAATTTTTAAATTTGGAGGATTACTGTACTAGGACGTCATATGCTCTCAAGTAGTTACTATTTGTGTCCTGGTGCAGGGAACGCAGTTTGGACCCAGTTCACTGTCTGGTTGGGTTAAGTGCTGAAGTTCTTAAAAGAGTGTTTTTCCATCCACACTTAAGGTATATGCAGCCTTAACATCTCTCAAATTTTTGGCAGACCTTGTTCTTGAGTATGTCCAGTATGGATTTTGCTCCCAGATTGATAAAGGTTTTTTTTTTTTTTACCCAAAATAGGGTATGTCTCTAAGGTTACCTCTACTATTTTCCCGTCTCAAGTAGTGATATTACTGTCGTTTTCCTATCAGCCCTTTAGATCATTGGAGAATGAAAGATTGCACAGGATTTGTCCTGTGAAAGCGTTGAAGATTTGCATTAACTGTTCAAGTCAGTGGCATAAATCAGATCAGTTGTTTCTTTGTTTTGGTGTTCGCTGTAAAGGGTTTTTGACTATGAAACAAAGTATGTCACATTTGCTAAGGGATGCAATTTCTCTAGCCTATGAGGTGCGTGGTTTCACTTCGCCTCTAGATGTTAGAGCACACTTGTGGCATCATCTCAGGCACTATCTAAAGGAGCATCTTTAGAAGATATTTTTGTGCGGCAAGATGGGCAATTTCTACTTCACTATTTCTTCCTTCCTTCATTGAAATCTGAGGAACAATGGCGCAGGTTGGTTGTTAGGCTGTTCTCCACAAGTTTAAGTAATAATAAAAAAAAGGTGTATTCCACTGGTTAATGCTAACTCATTAGCTTTTTTGGATTCATCTGGCATTCGGTAACATTTCACTCAGGAGAGTGATGAGCTGTATATTATAGAGAGGCCAGATCTGATACAGAAAGTATATCGGAAGCAGTGTATTGGAACTGGCAAACTAACAGCAAGCACAGAACAAGTTTAGACTTTATTGCAGACATAATACTACTTTTTTGTCCTTTGTTTTGATTGAATAAAAAATACATTAAAACTGCAACACTTGCAGTCATGTTGTATGTGGTGACTACCTGTGGACAACCATTCTATTCACAGCAGTGGATTTTATTCTGACAGGAAAGTGGAATTAAGAGGAACAGTACCAACATAATTTGCTCTGTGCAGGTATCGTCTTGCCCCAGCTTATCATTTTCCTGCCCAATTTGAGGATGTGTACCGTGTGCTGAAGTACTTCCTTCGTGTTGATGTTCTGAAGGGCTACCATATCAATCCAGAACGGATTGCTGTGTCTGGAGATAGTGCAGGAGGCAACCTTGCAGCTGCAGTGGCTCAGCAGGTAAGATGTAGAAAATTATACATTAATGACTCTAGTAGGATTTACATTTTCTAGAAAAGGGCTCTAAAATAACCAGTGCATTTTATCTATAAACAATGTGCCTTATACCTTTAGTTACCTACACTATATGTTTTCATCATTATGTACTTCCATCTACACTGCTCAAAAAAAATAAAAAATAAATAAAAACTTAAGGGAACACTTAATCATCACAGTAAAGTAGGGTTTGGTATCGTTTGGGTTTTTTTAGATACCGGTGCCAAATCAATACTTTTAAAATGGTTCCGGTGCCTAAACGGTGCCTGAACCGATACTTATTAAAAAATAAATAAATAAAAAATCCCCCCAAAAATTATGGATTGGCCATTAGAATAGAAATAGAATAGAGAGTGCAAATGTTAGAGGGTCAAGTTTTTTAAATAAAAAAAACAAGCAGATAAAATTAGAAGTAGCATTATAATAGAGAGTGCTAGAGTTAGAGGGTCAATTGAAGATGAAAGAGATGTGTTTTCAGCCGTTTCTTGAAAATATTAAGGACTCAGCTGCTTGGATTGAGCTGGGCAGGTTATTCCACCAGGAGGGAACAGTTAATGTAGAAGTCCATGTAAGTTTTATCATGGGTAGAATGCAAAATGTTTCAATACATGCATTTCAGTCAAATGTAATTTATGCAATATTTCAAACCTTTAACACACTTGGGAAAATCAACCCATGGCAACAGTTTAAAAGTAGCCCAATTCTGTGGAAAAAATGCAGACTTGGCAACCCTGCATCCAACAAGAGCTACCGGAGTCAGCTTTGACTGATCACAGGTCGAGAATAAGGAGAGATGACTGACAAGACCATGTTGGAGTATTTGCTGCTCAACAGATCCTGAGCTCACTGACAAATATCTGATCTTGTAAGATGTGCTCCCTTTACACAGAGTGCGTGTGATCGCGAAATCGAAAGTGAAAGTAAACAGCGCAAACGCTCATTCAAAAATATTTAAATACTCCGCATACTGAGAGCGGCTCCCTGATGCGCCAAAATTATATACAATATTAGAATGTTTAAAGGAGTGGACACGAAAATCGCGGGAGCAAAACACATGTTGCGGGAGCAGG